CCCCAAAACCCCAAAACCCCAAAACCCCATTTAATTAATGTGCATAATTTGAGAAGTATGAATGAAATATTAGTAGCGAATTATACATAGAAAAAGCGAATTTTATTATATTGTGATCTGCGTTTAGATGTCACGTGCTTATATTTATTCATTAGTAGATATGCATGTTGTTATTTGACTTGCAAGAACTACTTGTCTTGGTGGTGGCCGCACTATTGTGCCTCCTACCTCTTTCAATTTATTCCTGCTTACTTAGTTTTTCCTCCAAGTCTTGGATTTTCTCTAAGTTTTCCTGGCATTCATTGTATAACTGAGCCTTCTCATGCTCGGACTCGGCCCAACTAGCTTTTGCCTAAATCAGCTGCTATTCAGTAGTCATGAGTTTTTCCTCAAAATTTGCTACTTGAGATTGAATATCAATAAGCTCCTTTGCATTTTCTTTCATCATCTCTCTCTGTCTTTCATATCTTTCCACCAAATCTTACCTCTCATCCTCCATAGCTATACGTTTTTTATTCTCTAGACTATATTTTTCCTTTATCTGTTCTAGTTCTTATTTCAGACTCTCATTACTCTTTGTTAATTCCTCTATCTACTCCTTATACTATTCATAGACAGTGCCAATTTGATTGTTTAGATTTAGCTTCAGATCTCTTAGCTCATCCTCCCTCTTCCTCAGTTTGTCTTTAACCTCACTCAGTTCAAACTCCTTCTAGTTTTATTCATTCATCAGGAAGTCGAGTTCTTTTTGGAGATCTCTACGCTTCCTATTCCAGTCTTCTCTTTATTCATTCTAGTCTCTCTCCATCTTACTTAATTTCTCGTTGATTTCCTAGTTCAAGCGCTGCTCGTGCTGCAGCTCTTGCTCCTTAGTCTATATTTACTTGAAGTTCTGAGAAATTTAAGCCTTGCAAACTTCTATTTCTTTTTATGAGTCCTAGTTCTTTGTCTCAAAGAACTCAGATACTTGCTTTGATCTGTTGAACTTAAGCTGAAATTCCTCAAGTTGGTGAAGAAGCTATTCATTTTATTGCTATAATACAATCATCTAGGCATTTGAAGAGTTTTAAGTACTTATCAGACTAGATTAATTTTTAGAATTGTTTTATAATTGTTAGGATTTAAGTGCCAGTTCCTATTGAAGAGTCTAATAGTCTAGGTCTAGTTGATCTCTTTGCTTTTAGAATAACTAGGCTTTATCTTGCTCTTGTTTTAACAGCCTCATCAAGTCATCTTTTTATTGTTAATCTTTCTCTTTCACAAAGATTTTTTCTTACTTTATAACTCTAACTTCTTATTCTAGTTACTGAACAAGGCTTTCACTGATTTATAATTTCCTCTATAGTTCTTGGATTTATAATTGTTACTATACATTCTCCTCTTCATTTAAACTTCGATCTCTTGGAGTCTTCTTCTCCTATGTATTTTGTTATTTAGACTCACTGGTGAACTGCAAACCCCCAAGTCTGAGAGAATATATTGACTCACAAATTTGTTGAAAAGAACTAGGAGTTTAAGGGGGTTTTTATTGCACGTTAACACTACCTGACTTCTGATTAGGCTTTTATTTGGCATTTTTGTTTTATTTCACAGGTGTTTGCCTCAGGTAAACAGCAGGGGCATTACTTTGTCTGCTTCCAGGATTGCTATTCTGATTTGCAAACAATTAAGCTTAAGCCTAGTTATAAGCATTCATGTTGGAGCTAATGTTATCATTAAAGGAGTTAACATCTCTTCTTTCTGTGATTAGTGCATCTGATTCTATACTATTTGTCTCTTTAACTTATGGATTGTTGGTATTTATAAATGACTATTCAGTGCTAGCCAAGTTATAAGTCTAACTCATTAATTTCTAACCAAGACCCATAGCTCCGTTAATAATCTGCAAGTATACTCCATTAGTTGTTGATTATACTTGGGGCTCTTAAAACTAATAAGGGTTTCTCATATCAGGGGATTGTATGTTGTGAGTTAGTTTTCTTGCTGTAGAGAGATTCTTTCTAGCTAATGCATTTGATTTTATTGGAGTAGCTCTTGCTGTGACTATGTCTTTTTATTTTCCTTCTTCGAAGTCATCCTTGTTAATCAGGTTGCATTCATCTTCATCCATTGCTGTAAAATCTCTGTCAATAGATCTAGAGTCATTAAGACCTGAACTTTTAATGGAGTTATGGAGCATTAACCTTGACTTATCGTTATTTTTTACTGAGGTCATAAAGTAATCGTTTTGGGAGGAGGAAGTTTGATTTCTCTCAGGAATTGGAGTTTATGTATTTACTGGTTGATATCTCGGAAGGTTTTTAATTTGAATTGACTAAGTACTATTCATCTATTTCGACTCAATTACTGAGTATGATTTAGAGTTACTATTATTAAGCATGTTATTCTACTTATCATTTCTACTGTTGAAAGCTAACTAGTTTGACTATTAATTGCCGTCGTTAAACATGCTTTATAGATCTTAAATCTACCTTGAAGAACTTATTTAGTTCTGATATAGATTGCTATAATTGCCTTTTAAGCTAGCAGAAATGATAAGAAATGCTTATTTATCAATGCACTTGTCAAACATAAACTTTTGATTCTTGAACTGTTGAAATTCTTTCAAATTTAGTTTCATTTGATAAAGACCAATTAGCTTTGACTTAGTGTCACTTACTGCCAGCAATTTCACGCTTATACTTTAATTTTCCCTTAATACTTGCTGCTACTACTGCCCTGCTGTAAGATTTATAGCAAGTTCCTAATCTGAAAAATTAACGGTCTGTGAGTTTGTATCAACTTTTCTTCTCTTTGGGGTATCGTATTTAAAATCATTGCAAACACTAGAGATTATTAGATTAATTGAACCAGGTATAGAAATCGAAACTTCATGCACAGTTAGCAGCAGTTGAAGGTTACTTGGATTTAAATTAGTTTGAATAACTTATTAGGAAATTTAATGCGATGAATGTTATACCTAATTATCTGCTAATTTGAGGCTAGTTGTATCGATAGCTGCAGTATTCGGACGATGAGAGTTTTTATTTGATTTAGCGCAGTTGTCCTTAAATATTAGTGAGTTTTAAATTACTGGGTCTGGGAAGTTTTAGCTCTGATTTTCCTGTTAGGAGTTTTAATGATGATGGCGCAAGCCAAATCCAATTTTGTTGTTCGTCCTTGAGGATTCCTCGTTGTGATCGTTAATGGAAGAAGTTAGGCTCCGATTTGAAGTGTTGGTCTTTTGCTGTTAGGATGGGCTTTTTAATTTAACATCTCTTCTGTTTATAATAGGTCTAGAAAGGGTGCTAAATTATTCAGAATTTTTGGAGCTATTGCCCACTGTAGAGGTGTCCTGAATGCTTGTGGCTACGAAAGTTTGAGATTTTCCTGTTAGCTCTGGAATGTAACGGGGTTTCTAATTTTGCATTTGAGTATTAGTCTAGCACTTAAGTATTTAATTTTGATTACTGTTCATAGGTGCACTGTCGATCGATCGTTCTTGCGGAGTAATTTGATCTTTTTTGTCCACGAATATCAAACTATTGTGGTCTTTTATTATTAATTCTTTGAAGTTTTATGATGAATATGACATTGTTTTAGGGTGTTTGGTGTATTGATGTGATACAAATGGTTGCTTGTGATACAAATGATATTGCGAAGATAAGCAGGAGTTAAATTCTCCTCTCTATTTTAATTATTTAGAATTTAACTTTCAAATCAATAAAATTATCAAAAACCCAACGTACATTTTGATCTCAAGCTCTTGGGGTTTTGGGGTTTTGGGGTTTTGGGGTTTTGGGGTTTTGGGG